ATCAGGATCTGGGATCCGGCCACCGGCCAGTGTGTGTCAACCCTCGAGGGACATAGCAATTCGGTCAGGTCGATTGCCTGGTCGCAAGATGGAAGCCGACTCGCATCAGCGTCAAATGATCAGACCATCAGGATCTGGGATCCGGCCACCGGCCAGTGCGCGTTAACCCTCGAGGGACATAGTAATACAGTCAACTCGATTGCTTGGTCGCAAGATGGAAACCGACTTGCATCAGCGTCAGATGATCGCACCGTCAGGATCTGGGATCCGGTCACCGGCCAGTGCGCGTTAACCCTCGAGGGGCATCGCTTTTGGGTCAGCTCGATTGCCTGGTCGCAAGATGGAAATCGACTCGCATCAGCGTCCGGGGATAGGACAACCAGGATCTGGGATCCGGCTACCGGCCAGTGTGTGTCAACCCTCGAGGGACATAGCGATTCGGTCAGGTCGATTGCCTGGTCGCAAGATGGAAGCCGACTTGCATCAGCGTCATATGACCGCACCGTCAGGATCTGGGATCCGGCCACCGGCCAGTGTGTGTCAACCCTCGAGGGACATAGCAGTTTGGTCAGATCGATTGCCTGGTCGCAAGATGGAAGCCGACTCGCATCAGCGTCCTGGGATAAAACAACCAGGATCTGGGATTTCGCGACCGGCCAGTGCGAATCAATCCTCCATATCAACTCTCCCGACTTCGTTCAATTTGATAAAGTGAATCTCGATCATCTACACACGTCAAACGGTACTTTTGATATAGGATTCACCGCTACCGTCACGTCAACCCCTCACTGTTCGACCCTGCCAGAACAGTACGGGTATGGTTTGAATGATGACCATTCCTGGATAATCTATAATGGAGTCAATCTCCTTTGGTTGCCTGCCGAATATCGACCAATCCACTCCTCTCTTTTTGCTATGTCTTCAACAAATCTAGTGATCGCTTGTTCGTCGTTTCGTGTCATATTTCTCGCGCTTCAAGAACAGAATCCCATTCCTAGCCTGTGATTCGTTTTTTATATCTTTTCAGCAGATCAACACATTAAAACGCTAGGGCAACAGGTACATAATCAAATACCTAGGTGAGAGTAAGCGCACCATCTAGCATCCATTTTACTCCTATTGAGGTACTGTCACTTTGCCCCTAGCTAGCAATCATTGAGGGCCCGCAGTTTCCAAATCGTTCTTCTAGAAACAACCAAGCTCCTGGAAGCTTCGAGATCAATGATGTGAGATGCTGGCAAATCTTCATAAAGAAGGTCCAATTTCAACTAAATTAAGAGAACTAAGCTAGGGGAAAAAAGGGAAGAAGGGAAGAAGAGCTAAGCATGGTAGATCTTATAGATCTAGCAAACATGCAAACTATGCAAACATGCGAGAATGGGCAATTCCTCACAAATGATCACGTGCAGTTTTCAATACCCCAGCATTCCCCGACCGTCAATCAAAAATCATTTCATCCGCTTCTTGAGCAGAATCCAGCCGTCCGGGAGTCCAGACACGTGGTCTGCTATGCGTGACATCGTGCATGCCGTTCTTTGTAAATCAGTTAGCACTAGAGAAAGGCCGCAGTCTTCAGATCTGTCGCTATGACAACCGCGTTTTCAAGACCTACGATGGTGTTAGGTCACGTGCATTTCCCATTACTACTGCGTTCCCAGACCTTCAGTCAAAAATATTTCGTCCGCTCACTGAGCAGGAGGGGGAGCAGGGGTGAGGATGGAATAAACTTCGCCGTGTTTGACCAACGATGGCTCACGAGGAAGTTTCCACCGGCAACACCCTGAATTTTGCACCATCATTACGCAAAATGGCGCCAAGGCTCCCTCCTTCCAAGCTCGAGATGATCCCCGACATAATACTTGGCGAATCCTTAAACATATCATAGAAGGCCGAAGCAGCTGAATGTAGTGAGTGTTCAGTCATCAACCTGCGCAAAAACCTACACCAATTTGGAAATGTCCGAGCGCCTCCTACACGTGTCGGACGACGACGAAGTATCACCCCTCCAATGCTAGAGGCCATATGTGATCATCTTCTTGAGAAACCTGGGCTATTTGTGGATGAGATGGCGCTCTTTTAATGGGATAAATTCCATATTCGGGTAACGAATTCCCGTCTTAAGCGGGCTCTTGCATCTGTCGGCTGGTCGAAAAAGGTGGCTCGACAAAGAGCAAGGAACAGAACGCCGATTTGCGAGACTTCTATCTACACAACCTATCGGATTTTCGATCCCATCACCTGATCTATGTGGGCGAGTCTGGATGCGACAAACGAATTGGTTTTGAACAGACCGGCTGGTCTCCGGTCGGCGCGACGCCTTTGCAGGTATCCAAATTCCATCGTGACCAACGATATCAGATTCATCCTGCATACGCCCAAGATGGTGTTGTTTTTTCTCAAGTATTCCAAGGCTCGGCTGATGCAGCCGTATTTGAAGACTTCATTGAGCGCCTTCTCAAACATTGCGGAAAGTGGCCCCAAAGTCCGTGATAGTCATGGATAATGCATCTTTTTATCATTCTGAGCGAATCAAAGAAATATATATCAATGCGGGAGTGGAATTAGTTTACATGCCCCCTTACTCGCCCGATTTGAATCCTATCGAAGAGTTTTTCTCCGAGTTGAAGGCGTTCATCAGGCGAAATTAGCGGCGATAAGAACAAACCCCGGACCAAGGATTTGATTGTTTCCTTGAGTGGTGTGTCAACGTTGTCAGATCGCGAGAAGAAAGTGCAAGGGGCCATTTCCGGCACGCTAGCGTTATTGTTGAAGACTACTATTGAGTCTCGATGTTAATGATAGATCAACGGTAGGGATCATACAAGAATATTTCATTAGCATCGAATTTGACTAGACCATCCATGTAATACGCATTTATTCTACCTAGTGATGTATTGCAGGAAGTACATCGCATCAAAATCAGACAAACAAGCAATTTCATTCAGTCAGGCCTTGCCAGTGACTTTGACTGCCAGTCTGCGCCGTCAGCTTCTTACGTGCCTCGCCCATCTGACGATGTCGCCTACGAAGCGGCGGGCAATCCCTATGGCAACTCCTTTTTCAATAAGAATTCCCGGGTCGCGGTCCTCGTAGATCTGTTCAAGATCCAGACCGTTCGCCAGCGTTGCCTCGCAGGCCGTCGAAATTGAGCCTTCAAGTTGTCATCAACAACATTTGTTTCTTGCCATGCGCCGTATTCTCTCACAGCGACATCTCGGGGCCCGTCAATTATGAGTTGATTTACTATCTATCCGTTTTGTGGAGGAGATATGTCCGAGGCTGCAATTAAGTAGGCCACTGATGACTGCAGGTGAGGTTGCCCTCCCATAAAGTTGATATTGATAGGCGGACAGTATCCTGAAGCGAGCATTTTAGTGCTCTTAGACTGTTGATTTTCAAGTTTCTGCTGTTCTTCCAAGAATAGTTCCTCACGAACAGCGTCAGGGACATCGCCTTGACACTCTAGAATACCACCGCCTTCAATATAAACGATCAGGCATTTTAGGTGATGTGTCCGTAGCTGATAGTGTTTTTTCCATATAGGTCCTGCCAGTAGTGCGGACCAAGGTGGCAAGATGGCGAAGGACAACGCATCAAGTTGTAGACAGCCCGCCAAATCGATTGTTCCCCAGATATATGCTGTTCAGCATCAAGTTATTAATCCCGCTCGTTGAGCATCCTTTTCGTGACCGATGACCTCCCTCTTTTCTCGTTGCTCCCGGTTGCAGCCCTAATGCAGTGGTCGTCCTCTATATAGTTGAAGATGATCACTAGCCGCAACTCCTTGCCGCCAGCATGAAACTTCCCCCACGCGAGTAATTGTTTTTCCACGGTGGTCCAGTCAATGCTGAGGCCATTAAACCGCTTTTTCAGGTCGCGTTGTTTGCGATCGTTAATGGACACAACAATGGACGTGTTGTCCGACCTGACCCTTCGTTTGCGAGCAACCTTCTCCTCAATTACCTTATACAGCTTTTCCCTAAGGACCAAGGGCCAGTAAGCACTTGGGATCAGGGCTACGTCCTGTTCCGTATCCTCTGACACGGACCGGTTATTAACCTTGACTTTCCACTCGATAGTATACCGAATAAAGCTTGCGGAAAGCTCGTCGTCTGGCCTATTTACCTCCCATTCGGAGAGCTGAAGCAGCTCGTTGATTTCTGGTTGGGTAGCGAGTAAGTCCTCGAAGCCGTCCTGAGGGCAACGGTCCGGTGAAGGGCTGATTCCATAGTTTGAGGGTGGTGTATATCCGTAAAATCCTGGAGTAGGGGCGTATTGCGAATCCTGGTCCGAGTGATCGGGGCCCTGGGCTTGAGATTCATCACCGTTGAGATATAAGTGGTTAATCATCGTCCTCAATTTCCTGGTAAAATTGAACTTCAGCACATTTTTGTCATCCGGTGTTCAACAGAAGGTGGGATCCAAGGGGACCAGCATTTTGTAGGGCAGATAAGTCGGTTGCAAAGAAATAATTCATCCCACCAGTATTGTGTCTACGTGTGTTTTCAATCGTCCACTGTGTTAGTAGAGTAGTAGAGTGAACGTGGTTGACTGAAGGGGAAGGAGGTGAGAGGTGTAGTGACTAGACAACCGGCCGAATCTCCCGGCAGCCAGTATGTTTGGCTTGTTTGCAGGTGGATGGTTCTAGACAGGCCCTGACCCATACAACCATGATACGATAGCTATTTTTATGCCGTTATTTATTACTGTACTAAGATACTGCTAAGAGTGTGGGTCAGGGGCAAGCTAACCAAAAGGGGTATGGCGTCAGGGAAAATAAAGTTTTAGAAAGAATTGAAGAGAGTAAAGACGTGAAACTGATTTCGAGCGCGTCTGTAGCAAATGTTGCACAAATCGGAATCCACTCTGCTCTAAAATTTTCTGCACTGCTTGCAAGACAAGGTGCTGTGCC